GTTAAAGCCTCAAAGGCCTTAGGTATCACAAAATAATGTTGAAGCGCGTGAATTGGAGAAGCCCTGTCGCTCGGTGAAATTTGAATCTCTAAGATGCGCGTTAAGTACTGCAGGACCGAGCAGCATAGGACCTTGGCATTGCCATGAGTTTGCCTTCAACTCACAGCCATGAGATCAGACTTTTTTTATTATCTTACATTTTAGGCCCAAAGCTATCCCCTTTAGACTCACTGTTAAAAATTACTCTTGGCTTCAGTAGAAGCCAAATCTTTTATTTAGGAAAGGGTTGTAGCTACCGAGTCAAGTTGGCTGAATTATGAATGTTATGTGTGTGAACTGGTATATTGTATCTTTCTGAATGAATGACAGAGTTTACAGCAAGTTGCTGGTAGCCATCTGCCTTACAATACTTCAACGAATGTTATGTTTGCAGGGTTGCGTATTTTTATCACTCAGACAAAATTCCAGTTGTCCCAAGTAGAAGCTTGGCCTGTAAGAGAGGTGCGTGATTGGGTTCTTGACTCTCAACTGTACGGTATTGCTATGAATATATTGTAGCAGGGCCCCAAATTTAACAAACTTATTCCTGCAATCAAAGCTTGTTCAGTGCAGTGAACAAGCACTATGAGCGTGCCTCCAGGGCCTAAGAATGCGCTATTGCTTAGCGAGTTGCTTATTGCCCCTCAAATAAAGGTGGAGGAAACACTCAGCTGAGGGAAGTTGTCATACTCCATCCCTCCAGCTTTAGGAGTGTGAATCTTCCCGGATTTCCTGAAATCTAGGTGAAGCACTGGCACAGGTTGCCCAGAGAGGTGGTGGAAGCCCCATCCCTGGAGGCATTCAAGCTCAGGCTGGATGGGGCTCTGAGCAACCTTATCTAGTTGGAGATGTCCCTGCTCACCGCAGGGGGGTTGGACTGGATGACCTCTAAAGGTCCCTTCCAGCCCAAACGATTGTATGATTCTAATAAAGCCATCGATCAGTCCCCGCTGCTGGAGCATGTTATGAGCAAAGGTGGAGACACCCTTGTAAAGGGAGCCACAGAGAATTCTGGCTCCCCTCTATCTTGCTGAGCCAGAACAGGAATTTATGAAGATACCAAACTTCTGTTCATAAAGCACTGCTATGCACACTGCATGGGAAAGCTCTGGGTTGGAAGACATCCAGCATCTCTTGCAAAAGTTGAAAGAATTGTGGGCTAGAGGCTTATGAAGGGGAGGATATTGCATAAGAAAGAGAACTGGACAGGATTGCTAGAGAACAGAGTGACTACGGTTGCTATTAAGGGGATGGGAAAGAAGCCAAACTAGCATGTTAAGCAGTAGCTACTTTGCTGCTTGTTGTTTTCGTAAACCGTAATCAATTTGGTTTTTATCACTTTAGGAGGCTCTTGCCACCACCTTCATCCCCGGCACGCTTGAGTCCTCCTCTTCTTTCCTGGCTGGAGACTTCTGCTTCATCAGCTCTGGTGAATCAACTGTCTGTATAGAGCTAAGGAGCCAAACACTCTGTTCAAGGGAGCAAAAATAACACTACATTTATTTAGCCCAGTTTTTGTTATTTCAAATTAATTACAGGAATGTTTATGAGGCAGGGATGTTGACCGCACAAATATAGGTTGTTCATAATACATATAGTCTGGGAGAAACTGTAATTGCTATGCTAAATATAATTTATTCTGTGGTTCCATTCAGCTATATATTTAATGTTATTTTTCCATTCTTCTTCTAGGGGCACTAGTAAACATTCTTCCAAGCAGGGAGAGTAATGATGAGACAGTAATTGTCTGAGTAAATTATGCAAGCGGCCTTCTTTCTTTTTTCACTTCCTACATTTCTGGTGTCCTCTGGCATCAGAACAGAAGTATGTGTTAGTCCTAGGCTATGTAAATGAAAAGTTCTGTCTACATTACAATTAAAAACATGTCAGGTCACATGGTTTCCACTTGACCAGTTACAGCAGTGCTGTTTTGCAAATAAGGTTTTAACTGCGTTGCAAGTGTGAAGTCCTGAACTGACCAAGTCTGTAGAAACTGGGTCACCTGCCACAGAGTTTTTCATGATGTAGGTTGGCCAAATATTTGCAGAACCAAAAGTGCCATAATTGCACAGCTGTACCAGTATTTATGTTGACATTGAAGCTTAAAGACGCATATTCAGGAAGCAGGAAGAATACCATGTATAACTAAGATAGGTAAAAGGAATATAAGTTCTAGTTTTAAAAAAATCCAGCAACTGAACGACATGAATTTTTGAAGCAAGATTGTAATTATCTCAGGTTTACTTCATAATGGGCTTTTTGCACCCTGAGAGCTGCCCGCTGTTGGAGAAAGAGAATTACTAGCAGTAGCATAACCCCAAAAAGAAATCAGTGTACCACCGTGTCACCGTTGAAGGCTTGGGCTGGCAATGAATCGCTGTGAAACAAAAGAATAGTTCTCCTGGCCTGTAGAGCTGACTGTGAAGTGTATGACAGAGTAAACACAATCCGTACTTGTCAAGTAGAGAGACTGTATAACAATACACAGATAGTATCGCGTGTAGTTGCCTAAACACGTACAAGATTAGACTGACCATGGGGTTGCCATGCAGCCAAGGAGCTGTAGTCTTAGACGACCCTGTTGTGCTGTGGAAGCAGGATGATAAATCCCTCAAAATTGCCCCAAAGCCCTCGCAGTCTAAAAATAGAGTAAGAGAGCAGCTGAAGATGGGGAAACAGGGTAGCACCAGCAATTTACAAGGCGGGATCTGTCAGCAAGCCGATCGCTATCTGTAAAGAAAACTGGCATTACAGCTTTTCTTGCAGCAAGACCTTCCTCTTGGGACCGATGGTCTCACTTGGTAGGCCAGAGAAGTTTGAAAGACTTGCAGCAGTAAAAGTATCCATCCGGATGTGAATCAGGCCTCAGTACCAATTTCTGAATTGCAACAGTCTCTCTTCAGACTGTTTATAGGTGGGTGTGGACCCTAATGAATATTAATTAAGTGTAGCAGTTAATTGTACTTTAGGCCAGTCTCTCTGCCATTACGGTGTTTGAGCCTCCTGGAATCAGGCGGCTACAGAATTCACTTCTTGCTGGGCTACACAGCATCCATGCCACTGGGAACGGATTTGGTAGCTCACTTACTGAGCTATGAGTCTCTAGTATCTCAAAAGCTTTGAACTGGTATTAAATCTGAATTGATTTCCTCATTGGTTTTTGCTTTTACAGGGTAAGAGAAGGTGGTAACAAATACTGAAACAGCTGTGTTAATTTTTGAAAAGTAACAAACTTCCTTAAGTAGACCTATAGATTGGGCTTTTTTTGTCAGATATTTTTTTTTAAAGCAAATGATTATGTAGATTCACATAAATATTTTGCAAATTCAGCTGGGAACTTTGGTCTCGGTTTATTTTCTGTTATGCAGATCATTATTTATGCAGGTTTCCTTTTAATGGAAGCTCCTGGAAAAGGCACAGTCAACTATCTTTGGCTACTTTTCTTGGAGACGAGAGCTCAAGATACCCCAGAAACTAAAGCTCTCAGCTTTACGCATGAAAGTCTTTACCCTCTTGGGCTGGAAGAAGCACGAAACCACACAAGTATGAGAAGCAGATGTAGTGAGTGAGATGTAGTGGGAAGGCGATAGTTTGCATACCCTTTCGGGACATCATTGTAGTGCCACGGGAGGGCATTTTATGAAGCCACCACAAGCCCAGCTGTATTACTCATCATCACTGGGGAGTGGCATCAAGGCCCTTAAAGGACAAGCGGTTGTGATGGCCGGGAGTGAGGCCGCAGAACAGCAATTAGGCAATTTCCAAATCCCCCTCCTCTTGGTTCCTACCCTTTTGATATTGGAGTCTGTAACGCTTATCTTCTACTTGATGAGGCTAGTGCAATGGAAAATTTTAGCTAGCAGTTACCTGTCTCAGCCTTTGCGAAACACGTAATTCAACAGGTTGATTTTCAGCGTGCTGACGTGGCTTGTACATCAGGGTCCCGTTGGAAAGTGATCAGAAGTGGAGCTAGGACATCGGTGGCTTCACTCTATATCCTTCATCTGTTCTACATCTGCATGTTAAGGAACTTCTCCACTAAGCAGTTACCTTTCCTTTATATTCAATTTTATAGATGACATTGCCCTTCTAGCCAACTCTAGGCCTTGTTCTAATTAATCCTTCTGGCCGCCGGCTCGTTTCTGTCATCTTTTTATTGGGTTAGGCCTTCTCCTTCCTCTGGTTCCTGCATTTACTTGCCAGAAGAAGCTTGTGGTGGCAATTCTCCCTTCGTGTCTGTTTTGTTTCCATTCACCAGGCTATGTGTCTAGATCTGTTTTTTCCGCTGCATAGGGCGAAGAATCTGTTCAGTTCCTTTCTCTCGACCTGTATTGTGCAACAGATGTCTTGAAGAACTGTTACTCTTCCTGGTCTATTGTTCCTTTTAATCAGAAATAAAAGTTAGAAGATTGATATGTATGTTCTTTACTCACATAGAGGCAAGTACTTTTTCCAAGCATCTGAAAAATGTTCAGAGCCTCATGGTGGCTGACACATTTACTATCCCTAAGGCATAGTATTTCAGACTGAAAACCTGAAGGATGATGTTTGGATTTCATCTATTTTCAGCAATATTAAGGCTCACAAGTGGAATTGCTGTGCAGATGAATGGGTATTTATCAGATGTATTGTTATAAGAGCTTAACCGCTACATTAATTACAAAAAGGATGTCGAACTTTCCCCAGATATCCTAAAAGCAAAATTGTTAAGTTGTGCAGCATCTGCCAAATGAACAAGGCTGTGAAATAGCAAACCCCATCACTGTACTGTACCAGATATCCTAAAAGCAAAATTGTTAAGTCGTGCAGCAACTGCCAAATGAATAAGGCTGTGAAATAGCAAACCCCATCGCTGTACTGTCTGAGAATGCAAGGGGTTTCAACCAAGAAAACCCAGACTAATAATTGTAGCCTTACTAGAATATTGGTCTTTTTAGTAAATCTTAATTATTTTATTACAGCATGCTAGTAAAATGGATGTATATGCACGCACAAAGTCCGAACAGACACCGTGGAGACGAACTGTTCAAGTGGGGTGAAGCAGTGGCATTGACTGTGGCTTACTCGCAACTGTTGACGGTAAGACTGGTGAGGTGGCACTGTGACACATAGCTCCGGGCAATTTGTGAAAAGGGCTAATGCAGGTCCAGATAAGATGAGCAGCTGGCTAATTTACAAACCATAGATATGCTTTGCATATGTAGGTGGACTTTATGCATAAACTAGTCCCAGAAGGCATTACGTATTTATGTTCAACCTGAAGAGTGGTGTCACTTTCTGTGATTCCTGGGTGTAATCCTTTAACTGTACGAGTCAGAACTACATGAGTCATTGGGCTAGAGATTTAAAAGTAAGATGTAAGACTTCAAATTAAAAGGAGATATATGGTGGGGCTGTACTGAAACAATGTGCCTCTTTATCTCTTTATTATCGGCTGCAGATACGGTCTTCCGAGACTCTTGAAGCTCAAGGTGATGTCAAGTATCCTAAACTTCTTGCGAGCCCTGAGGAAAAAGGGAAGTCTTGTAATAAAAACTTGGATGAGCGATTGTTGTCCTCTGTAGGTGGATCCAGTGCATAATGGCTGGCTGGTATGTGCTGGGGTTTTGGGGAGTAGAAGAATTAACAGGAGTACACGTTGCCTATTTTTTTTCAGTATGTGGTTTTCATGTTACAACTAAGGTACTCCAATAACTTGCTATTGCCAAGGGGACAATTGCCATCCTTCTTTCTGCCCCCCCCCCCCCTTTTTTTTTTCTTTTTTGTGGCAGCAGCCAGAGCGATTCTATTGCTTCCCTTTGTACCAGCAACAGTGATCTGGCTTGTAGAGCTAATCCGTTTGAAAAAAAAATCATTCTGGGCAGAAAAAAGGTTGGTTGGGGCTGATTTAGCTCCTTATCCTCAGCCTGAGCTCATTTCTTCCCTAAGTCCTCTCACTACAGTACTACTGCATCAGATGGATCTTGATTGTGGCGTAAGGAAGAAGTTTTGCAGTTTGTCCATTTCGGAGGTCACTAGATCATCTTCGCTGTAATACGAGGCTTTTATGTAGTGCAGTGGAAAAAGACTTTTTTTTTTTCTTTGCCTGCTAACAAACGTGAAAGATTTTTCTCCATTAAAATAATGCAGCAACTCCCAAACTGTGATATGTGTTCATAGCCCCGGGATGAGGAGAATGGAATAGGAATCACTTGAGAGGGCCAGGGGAGAAAGTGCCTGAGAACTTCTGCTCTGAAAACTAACTCTAGGAAGGAAGGATTGTGAATTAGAAATTTCAGAGAGATTTATCGATTTCTGAAGCTAAAAATACGGTGTTATGCTGCAGTTCCATGAAGCTAGCACTCTGTCAGGAGCTGGCACCTCTGCCCAAACCTGTCTTCCAGAAACTTGTTCTGGCCTTGGTGCCACCACGTTCCTTGCTGCTGGCACAGTCATTTCTGCGGCTGTACATGGAACTGGCTCAGTAAAAATTGAACCAGCAGAAAAACAACCTTTTTGTTTCCCTCGGGTTACTCTTAAGCAAGCTCCGCTATCACCAAAGGAGTGCTTCCAACAGCACACGAGTGACTTGCCTGGAGGTAAGGACAGAAAGAGGGAAGAGAGACTGCCTTGCTCTGACACTACCACCGTCTAAAGTGTTTATGGAACTGTCATTTTATTGTGCTTGGCGCTTTCATGTAGTTCAGCAGTTCATCCCCGGAAGAAGTTGCATCATGACTGAATAAGGTAGAAGTGTAGGAGCAAGGAAGTATCTTCTCTGACTTCTCTTGGGGAAATTGAGGGTCAGAATTAAATAACTTGCCTAAATAGAAAGGCTGACTTGTCAAGAGCCAGATTCCAATCTCCTGAATCATAGCCTTGTGCCTTATCCACAAGACCAACCTTTCTCTATTAGCATTTTTTTTCTCTCCACCCTGTTTGAGAGGAGGCACAGTAGCATTGTTCTATGTCAAACAAACTCAAAGCATGATACAGGACCGCTTCCAGCAGAATGGCTTGAACAACCTTTGAGTTTATCATTAATCGGGAAGCCATGACTTTTCTTGGAATGGCTTCGCATTAGAACCTTTGCATTTGACCGTTCGGGACCAAGAATGACAAAGCTTTAACCATCAAAAGGCCTGACTCAAAAAAAAAAACCAGGTCTTTGAGATTAAAAAACATGCTTCAAACAAGAAAAGATTGCTTACGACATGGAGGATTGGAAACTGCTAATCAGGGGAGTGTGTGAGGCTTGAGATGCAGTGGACAAGGAAACGGAACTTAACCTTATTCCATAAGGAGAGAAGCGAACGATTTTTACTATTATTATTATTTTTATTCCTAGTATGATGTACCTTATTAGGAGAGCCATATTCTGAAAGTACCTTAGTGCCTGCTTGGGTGCTTAACCAGGCCAGTGACAAGCGGCTTCTCTTTGATCGAAGGCAGATAGCTGGGAACAGGAAATAAAGACTTAACAGTTTGCCTGTGCCGCGTTTGTATCACAGCCGGCTTCAGCGGAGGTTTTTGGCAATGCCTGGGCTAAGTACCACTAAAGAGTCGTCATCCTCAGCTTGACGAATACCATGTCAAACACTCAATCCTTCGCTCTAGGAAGTTTTGGTGATGGTTTGTGTTTTCCTCGCTCTACCCTTTTCTTCTCTTGCTTGTCCCATGATGTTCCTTGCCAGAGCAGGAACCTTAATTCCTTGCAGCAACCTGGGTGTGTTAACTGTGCTAGCGCAGCAGGCAGTGAAAAGCAGGAGGGGAGGACTTGTCTTTGGACTTGATAAGTGGAGAAAAATGGGATGTTAAAACTGCTTGCCTTAACTGGAAGACAGGAAGTGAAGCCCTGGATCAAACTGGTCTGAGAATTCTGGTATCTTGCCTCTGGCCATAGCCAAAGTCAGCTGACAGATCACAGTGATGCACCTGGCTTTTGTTACACAATGCTGCGGGAGGGGAATTCCGTCCTGCTTTTTGACAAAGATCTGCGTGTACCTGAAATTATGACATGTTCTTACACTTCGTGTCAGTTGCTGACCAGGTTTCTGTAATTACCGGTGCTATACTGTAATTCTTTAGTTCACATCACTCTCGCGGGATAATCCCTGTGCCATAGATTCTGATCGCGGCAGAAGAGAAGTACATACAAGGTAGTCGCAGGAATAGAGGGGTCTGTCTATGTGCTTGCATGATTTCGAGTAAAGCCTCTTCCATTTGCTTAGGATTTTGCCTTTCACTTGGGAAAGCTTCTCGGTTTCCATAGAACTTCCCCCTAGTTTAGAAGCATGAACGTATTATAAAACAGCCAGGCTGGGCTGGGACTAAAAGATCATTCTGTCCCATTATTGTGCTTTTACCTGGGCATCAACTTATGGCTACTGCTGGAGAGAGGAAAAACTGTCAAGAAAATGTCTCCGTTCACACTTTCCTTCCTCCAATAACTCTGTTCAAGGACTTTCTGAGCCAGATCTAGGCTCTATGTATTCAGATGATGGGAGCGTATAGATCTTATACAGTGAAACAATTCATATGGTTGGTTTTTCCTCTGATTTTATTATAGGTTGTTTTCCTTTTAGGGAAGGGGTAGGGATAGAGTTAAAGTTTTGGGGATGCTATAAGAAGTGCAACCCACTCATCTTTTTCTTAAAAATAATATCAAGATGCAGTTTGCACCATAGACACTGGTGTGTGTGTGTGTGAGATACTGCCTAGTTCTAATACACAGTTTTAAGGATTATCTTTGAGTAGCCTGTTCCTGCAAGCCGTAAGAGTTAGAGTTCAAAAGAGCTGGGGAAAAATAGGGAATGTTTATTGATGTTTTAGTCATAACATGGTATTTGTATTGCCTGGAATATTGCCCTTAATTTCCCATCAATTTAGACTGTATAACCTACAATAACATTTTCCTTCTGAAGAAATGAGTAGACACTTCTGTTTTGAGGCACAGAGTTTCCCAGGTGTCTTGGTCTGTGTCTATTCAGTAGCGTCATGAGCTAGAGAAGTAGGTGGGAATTGGGGATATAAACTGTATTTAGGGAAGCACCTAAATTTATTCTTCCTGAAACGCCATGGTTTACTATCTGAAATTTTGCAAACCAGCTTGAAGATAAGAAAGGAAAAGTGTTTAGTTGCTTCATATGCCTGTACTGGCAGCTTGCTTTACATCCAAAATCAAAACTCACATCTACTCTCCAGCTCCCGAGCGACAACCTCCCAGGGCTTTTCCAGCTTCAGCTAGCCGAGAGGAGCAGCACCCTTTTCCCTTTTAAAATCCTGTCCAGATCCCTCCTGTGACCTGCAGGGATGCCCTCAAACTGAGAGCGTTCCTCCAGCTGATCAACCTTGTGAATGAAGGCTGTCCAAAACTGTTGTGCCACAGCCAAGTGATCAAACAAAATAACTGAAGTGGCTTCTAATATTGATGTTCGTGAGCTAAATGTGTTTGGATGTGGGCACTTGGCAGAGAGAAATCCAGGTTGTGTGTCTTCCTATTTGCTGCTTTGCTGCTGCTTTTACCATAGAGCAGCACAAGCAGTGAGATGCTGAGCTCTGAGCACCCTCCATGTTAACGTGCCATCCCATGGGCATCTTCTAACCCCACCGCTGAAAATGCAAGAGAAAAGCATCTACCCTCACCTCAACCCCCGGCTGCCATCTTGAAGAGTGTTTTGTTTGAGGTCTCTTTGGCAGTGCATGCTTTCGGCTTGTGTGTGTATCTGTAGGTAAAGCCTAAGTTTGATTTAGAATTTTGGAACCACTTTCCTGCTTTATTTTACATCATTAATTATAGGGAATCCAAGAGATCCCTGAAGACGTAAAGATCTAGTCCTCATTTCTCAGTTTTAGGGCACTGCTGGTTTGTACCTCTCTTGTTTATTTGTTTTTTATGGGAAAGTGAGAAATCATGTTCTTCTGGCAAGAAACTAACACGTAACCATAGAATTATTTCAGCATAGTATCTAAATATAATACTGTAGCCGTTCTTCCCTTTAACAGAGCTAATGTCGCAGACACTTTGATTATGCTGTGCGCCCCTTAGGATTCTTCTATTCTGATTTCAGTCACAAATTTGACAGGGGTGTAACAATCCTACCGTGTGATGAACTGTGAATCTTAAATAAGGAAAGTTTTGCTTGCGGGATGAAGAAAGATCATTTCGGTTCATAGGAAATACGGTGATAGCTGGGCGAAGTTAAGGTTATAAAGACCAGTCCCGTTAAGTTCAGATGGACTGCAGAGCAGGAAGAATAACAAGCCTTGGGCAGTCTCCTCTGCTTAACTACTTGGGTTAATGTATGGATTTGCAGATTATAGAACAGTATTTTCTGCTCTGGTTCATTTCTATGTATCCCAATAAACTTTGCTTTAGAAAAGGACAGTGAGAAAAAGAAAAGGAAAAAAACCTCCTGGTTATACACCTTGCTTGAGTGCTCTTTGAGGCTTTTCTTGTTGTTTTATTGATGTTTCCTCCTCAGGAATACTAATTCATTTAACTGCATTTTCACATGTGACAGTGTATTGCGTTCCCAAAGTAAAGGTTTAAGAAAATTAATTTAAATCTTGTTGCTAACT